TATCCTATGTTTATCCTTACATCTTACATGAGTTTCTTGTACACAGCCTATAATTGGTGCTTGGGTTTTTAATCCATTCAACCACTATGTGCCTTTTGACTGGGGAGATTTGGCGATTTACATTAGAAGTAATTATTGGTAGTAACATAATTACATTGAGTCTTCATGTATCCTTCCTTGGTGCATCCTAGTTCTTTGACATTCCAGTTGGATGCTCATTTTCTTTCCCAGATCTGTGATGGTTGTGGCCATTATTGCATCAAATAAGCCTTTTGTCCCTTTCCCTCTTCTCCTCTTGAGTCCTTCTGATAATGCAATATTGATCTCTAGAATAGTATTTGTTAAGTTCCTTAGGTTTTCTTCCTTTCTTCATTCTGTTTTTCTTTTTGCTTCTGTAACTTGATCATCTTAAATGACCTGTCTTCAAGTTTGCTGATTCTTTCTTCTGCTTGATTAATGTGTTGTGGAACCCATCTAGTGATTTTTTTTTTCAATCCAGTTGTATTCCTTGCTAATTGTTAAGTCCAGAATTTCCATTTATTTCTTTTTTTATAGTATCTTCCCTTTTTAATATATATATTTTTTGTTCAAGCATTCTTTTTCTATCTGTATTCTATGTGTTCATTGTTTGTCTATCTGTATTCTCTTGTATCTCATTAAGATTCTTTTAGATGATTCTATTTTGAGTCTTTCCTGAGTGATTTCTAGACCTCTGTTTCTTCAGGGTCCATCTGTATAGATTAATTTTGTTTCTTTGGTTGTGCCATGTGTCCCTGTTTCTTTGTGTACCTGTTATTTTTTGCTAGGATTTGGGCTTTTGAAAAAAAAAACCACCTCTCTCAGTCTTTACAGACTGAAATTTGTCAGGGAAAGACCTTTATCAGTCAGCCCAGCTAGAGATTCTCAAACCTTTTCTGGGGTTGTCTTCTCTGGTTTGTTCAAAAATTTTACCAATTGGGGAACTTTCTAGTTTATTTTATGGGAGTTTATCATTTCTTGCTCCCTCCATTGTCTATCTTCAGAACTGTAAATTCTGTGGTACTCATGTGTCTGCAAGCTTAGTTTTGTTCTCAGTGGCTCCCAGGTATCCAAAGTATGCTTAGACTTCTCCAGAGCACCAAGTCTAGTAGGAATAAAACAGTCCCTAGAGCAGCTTTCTGAAAAATTGAAACATTAGATGTATATTCCACTCTTCTCCCCTGCCCCCCCCCCATTAGAAACCACAAGTTGGATATTTTCTCCTAACTGCACTGAGTTGTGTCAGTTTAAAGAGAGGGCTAGCATACATAAAATGCAATAGCTTTACTTGCTCATTTAAGTATGAATTTCCTTGACTTTGCACTTGTCTTGGACACTTCTTAACTGGTTTTTGGTATTCACATAAAGGCTTTTGGGGCAATATATTGTTAAATTGATGTCCTTGTAGGAGAGCAAGGTTTGGGGTTTCCTGTTCCATCATCTTGCTGACATCATTGTGGTCTGGCATGACCTTGAACTTTTCTTTTCTCTTAGGCCTAGCAAAGCCACATAGAAAAGTCTTCCAAGAAATTATATATTTTCTTTAAAGGGCTACTTTCTGGCTTTAGTGCAAGAGTAAAGCCTGGAGTCACTCCATTAAAGTGTGCTGTACAAAGGGCTCCCCAGGGCTCTGGCTTTAATGCATTATTTTTGTGCTGACTCCCTGGCCAAAACCTTTGCTTTGGTGGGGTTGAACCTGTTATTAGCCCCTCTCTGAGAGTTCTTTGGGGGAGGATCTGCCTTTGTTTCTGGAGACTTCAGTTACACTTTTCATTCCCTCATTCCTATTTTCAGAAGTTCTAGAAAATGCTCATGTTTTCTAGCTTGTTCCTTTTAGAATATAATTTCTGTCATTTCAGGAGACCCTGAGGATGTGAAAGAAGTAGATGTGTGTGCTTAGTCTACCATCTTCAAATGAAAACCCCTGAGGTTTTTTTTTTTCTTAAGAGCCTAATTCCATACTATTTTTTTTTCAATTTCATCTCTATTAATCGTTTCTTATTAATTGGCATTGACATGCAATTTGTCTGGTAATCAGCTGATGCTTTTTTGAAGAAGTTTCTTTTATTCATTGGTGACTAGCTCTGAATGGAAAGAAGTATGTGGCAGACATACCATTGTAGAAATCAAATTAGCTTTTCAGAATTCTAAGAATTCAACTCCAATTTGCATTTTCTATTTGAGAAGAGACAGGGTTGGGGATACACTGCTACAAACACAGCTGCTGCTGTCGATCATATCATGAATTCCCTAGTTTTTGTAAAATAAAATGGTTGTGCTCACTCTCTGGCATCTGGATGAAATTCCCAAGACTTTGAGGGCCCTGCAGTGAGCAGAGGTGAGCAACACATAATGGTAGAGAGGCAGGACTTTACCTCTGGCACCAGAAAACATTTGGCTTCTGAGTGCTATGCTAATTTTCTCTGGTTCTGTTCTATTTTCCCTTCCCAACTATGACACCCTATAATCATTACTTGAAACATACTGTTATGGGAAGCCAACTTCTTTGTATTATTAGTTTTAAAATTCTACACATCTCTCCACAAGCCTCCTCTCCCCTCCCCCTCTCCCCCAGTGTTTCTTTTCTCCTTTACTTTGTTTAGGATATAATTTTGAGTTTTACTTTAAGATTGTTAGTGAAAAATCACAATCATGACCCATAAAATGTCTTCTCTTTACATAGATAGGCTATGAAAAACCAGCCCAACTATTCATTTCACGTATGTTTTTCTTCAGATCTCAGCAGATTCATATTTCATCTTAGGTTTTCTTTTATTTACAAAAACAAGTAAAAATAGCTAAAATGCTTTTCACAATTTTTTTTTCTCAGTTCAGTTAGCATCAAGCATTCCAGCCTTGAAGCAGATTTGCTGTATAAAAAATGTAAAGAACATTTTAAAAATTGATCTTCTGAAACACTGTGCTATAAATATTATTTAGGTTCCCAAACTTGGCTACAAAAGCTTAGCTAATCCATCATGATGCTCAGCTGTATTCTAGGTCCTGGGTACAAAAACCTGGTAAGAAATGGTGGGGGGG